GTTCTACTATACTGAAACAAACATTGGAATCTTTTAACACAAGTTGCAGAGAAGCAAACAGAAGTTATTTTATCATCACAGTCAAACTAAGAATTACAGAAGCTAAGCAACTGGAGGGAAGAAAAAACAAATTGCAAGAAAAACAAATCAGCAAGAAAATGAATAAGGAAATTGCAGTGCAGACTGCCTTATGTGTAGCAGATCTTTATGCAAGTCAAATGTTATCTGATGTTAAGTATTGCTAAAAATAGTTTATGATGTTGACAACTTAAGTTACAGTTTTCATATCACTTGCTCTGTTCATATTAAGCATGTTAATTTGAGCACATCCCACAAGAAAGTGTCTTGTAATAGTGCAATGTCCAGGCTGACTTTACCTATACTCAAACAGAGTATAGAGCAGGGGTAGGCAACCTTGGCTCTTTTATGACTCGTGGACTTCAACTCCCAGAATTCCTGAGCCAGCATGGCTCAGCTTGGAAACCTCTCCCTTTCCCCTCAGCATGGCTGGCTCAGGAATTCTGGGAGTTGAAGTCCACGAGTCATAAAAGAGCCAAGGTTGCCTACCCCTGGTATAGCGTATAACAAACTTTTCAGTTATAAACTTTGACCAATACAAACAAACCTGTCCATAACTCCAACTTAGAAGGTCCCAGAATCCAGGGACAAAATATGTATCTTTGTTTGCAAATATGTATACTTGCAAACAAAATAGACTTACAAACAGGTGCTGTGCACATAACCTATTTGTAAGCAAAGGACTTGCTATATACTACAGGTGGTCCTCGACTTACGGATGTAATAGAGCCTGCCAATTACATTTGTAACCCAAGGAATTTGTTAATGGGATCGTGTTAATTGAATGTGATCCTTCCCTGATTTACCCAATGCATTCGCTAATCGAATGCTCAGGTCGTTAAGTGCACATGAGGTATCTCGGGGTGGGGAAGACCCGGGGGGGGGGCTAGTGCTTTTGACCACCTAAGGCAGAGGTCCCCAACCTTTTGGGCACCAGGGACCGGTTCCGTGGAGAGAGGTTTTTCCGTGGACCGGAGGGGGCATGGTTTTCTTTGCTGCCTGCATCTCGCAGATGGGGCTTTGCTTGTTTGTGCGGACCGGTTGCTGTCATGCCGTGGACCGGTACAGGCCCATGGACCAGGGGTTGGGGACCCCTGACCTAAGGCCTCTCCCGACCCACTGAGATATTTCATGCTTACCCCCCCCCCATCCTGCCCGACCAGGTCTCCACAGGCACTGTGTCCTTTCAAGCTTCTCTGCCACAGTTTCTTTGCCTCTACTCTTGGTGGCAAAAGCTTTTTGCAAACACGACTGGAGGCTGCAAGGAAATGGCAAACTGACGGAAGGCCTGAAATACCGAAGCCTCCTGTCCATTCGCAAAGCCTTTTGGTGCGGATCTCGTTGAGGCCTCCATTTGCAGAGAAGGGAGGTCTGAACTAGTGTGAGATCACGCGAGATCAGTAGCGAATTCTCTGCGAATGCATAGAATGCCTGAAGCCCCAAAGCAGGCAAAGAAACTGTGGTAGAGAGGCCGGGGAGGAGACACCTTGCTAGATCTTTGCAAGGTAAGTGAGTCTCCACAGGCCCAGTGCCTGTGGAGAATAGGCAGGGCGAATGTTGCAGCGCCTCTGTGGTCATTCATAAGGGTGAACGACTGCCGTGGCGTTGCAACATTCGTAACCTTGGGACTGTTGTCGTAAGTACTTGGGGGAGTGATGTTGTAGCTTCAAACGGTCGCTAAGTGAACTGTCGTAACTCGAGGATTACCTGTACTAAAACTCTTGTGTCTGATTGTTTGTAAACTTCAATTGAATGAAACAATGCATCCAAGAGTAACGATATTTGAATAAACCTACCTCAAAGGACTCACTCACAGCAAGGGTCCTCAATCCCGAGGCCACGGCCCACTACTGAGCTTTGAGCCTTTTGGAACTGGGCCATGGAAGTGATGGCCAAGCGCACATACATCCTCATTCGTGGGAGCAGCATGCAAGCATGCGTGCATGCCTGCCGCTAGCATGGAACCATCCCTTCCCCCACACCAGTTTGCAAAGCTGAAAAGGTTGGGGAACTCTGACTTACAGAATGTGTACAAAATTTGGAACTGTGACTCCTGAGGGACTGAAATCTGGCAAAGTTGGGGCCGCTTCAGTGTTGCCACAGTCACCCATAATCAAGTGATGATCATTTCCAATGCTTCCAGCCAGCTTTCTTCAAGGAAAGTCTGTGGGAAAGTTGGTAGGAAGTTGGAGATTGCTTCCTGCTTTTCTCCTGTACCTGGTCATTCTGTTTTTTTGCTTAAGCATTAGGTATTCAAATATCTCTGAAATGGTGACCCAACAGATCACAGGTTGTCTAACCTCAATTGGTGCTCTCTGAAGGTATTGGTATTATAGCAATTAACTCATCTGGAAGGAACCAGATTGCAGAAGACAAGCTGAAGTTTTTGGGAATTTAAATCAAGGTTATGAGGTCTATCTTTCAAAACATATCTAAAGCACAAAAGAAATATGGGATTGCTGAATACCTCCCACTCAACACACATTCCCCAAAATCAGGAATTTGTGCTTGTTCATTATTTATTTGATTTAAAGTCATTTAACTCCAGAACAATTCTGGATAGTATATAGTTCAGTGGTTCTCAACCTGTGGGTCGGGACCCCATTTGGGGTCAAACGACCATTTCACGGGGGTCGCCAAACAACGCAGTCCGCCATTTTTTTACCCCTTTTCCTTAGCTGTGCTACTCCCTTTTATTCTATTGGCTTTTGAAAGCCAATAGAATAGATTCTCTTGAATAGAGTCTAATTCTATTGGCTTTCAAAAGCCAATAGGAATTGTCCAAGCTGTCTCTGCCCTGCTGAGCCCACCAAAAGTCCCATTCTGCAAATAGTGCTGCACCAGTTGAGTAGTCCTCGACATACGACCGGTTGAGTAGTCCTCAACTTATGACCAGTTGGGGGTCGTGGCATTAAAAAGGTTGAGAACCACTGATATAGTTGTATGGATAAGCATTTCAACAGTTTGTCAAACAGAGGATTGATGTTACTGAACAATAATGGGTAGAGGCATTTAAAAACTGATTTTGATTGTTTGGTTTTCATTCTAGTAAGAACCACAAAGGAATAAAGAACAACCACCTCCAAATCTATCCTATGGCACTTGAAACAATCTAGTTGAATGAGAAAGAGATAGCAATAGCACTTAACCTTATATACCATTTTGCAGTGCTTTACAGCGCTCTCTAAGCAGTTTACAGAGTCAGCATATTTGCCCCCAACAATCTGGGTCCTCATTTTACTGCTCTCAGAAGGATGGAAGGCTGAGCCAACCTTAAGCCGGTCAGGATCAAACTCCCGGCTATGGGCAGAGTCAGCCTGCAATACTGCATTCTAACCACTCTGCCACCATGGCTTGAATATATTTCAATATATTTAAGGAGGGCAATGGGGGTAGTGACAGATTTTATTTTTCTGGGCTCCAAGATCACCTCAGATGGGGACTGCAGCCAAGAAATTAAAAGACGCTTGCTCCTGGGGAGTAAAGCTATGGCAAATCTAGACAGCACACTGTCGAGGTGGCGCAGCAGTTAAAGTGAAATACTGCAGGCTACTTTAGCTGACTGTGTTCAGCAGGTCAGCGGTTCAAATCTCACCGGCTCAAGGTTGACTCAGCCTTCCATCCTTCCGAGGTAGGTAAAATGAGGACCCAGATTGTTGGGGGCAATGTAAATATATATATACATTGCTTACTGGTGTACACCGCTTAGAGAGTGCTTGCACTTAAAGCAGTATATAAGTCTCATAAATAAATAAATAAATAAATAAATAAATAAATAAATAGCTAGCTAGCAGAGACATCACCCTGCCAACAAAAGTGCGTATAGTCCAGGCCATGGTTTTCCCAGTTGCAGTGTATGGCTGTGAAAGTTGGACCATAAGAAAGGCTGAGCTCCAAAGAATTGAGGCCTTTGAACTATGGTGCTGGAGAAGACTCCTGCGAGTCCCCTGGACTGCAAGGTGATCAAACTGGTCAGTCCTAGAAGAGATCAACCCCGACTGCTCTTTAGAAGGCCAGATCCTAAAGTTGAAACTCAAGTACTTTGGCCACCTAATGAGAAGGAAGGACTCACTGGAGAAGAGTCTAATGCTGGGAAAGATTGAGGGCAATAGAAGAAAGGGACGACAGAGAATGAGATGGCTGCATGGAGTCACTGAAGCAGTAGGTGTGAACTTAAATGGACTCCAGAAGATGGTAGAGGACAGGAAGACCTGGAAGAACATTGTCCATGGGGTCGCAATGGGTCGGACACGACTTCGCAATTAACAACAACAACAACAAAGGAGGGCAATGGGAACTTGGGGAAGGGGATTGAGTGAGACCCCCAAACATCCCATGGCTTGTCTCTCACTAGTGCAAAAGCAGAGCACTGAGTAGACGAAAAAATCCAAGACTTATGATAACAAAATGGGGTAGAGATTTGGGTAGCCAACTTCTTGTAGGAATGTAAGCCTGTAGATACACACCAGGCCTAGGTGCTCTGGTACAATTATAGCACTATGTGCAAAGTAAAGGCCGAGTACATAAATTATAATTTGAACAGCTTATTGCTCCCATAGTAAAGTCTTCAATTACCCTTAGCAACTTGATTACATCACTTAGAAATCAACATGAAAGAGATGAATTCTCCACATCTCCATAAAGCATGTCATGACTTTCTACCCAATACCCAATGCGAATAATCACTTAAAGGCAAATGAGAATATTCAAACTCCTTTTCTAGAACAGATTCATACTTGCCATGAGGAAGTGTTCTACTAGCTAGTGTAGTTTATATGCAAGGGCTGTTGTTAAGATCCAACGTAACAAAACAAATCCACCAAAGCGTTAACAAGAACACACCAAGTATACTACAGCTACTATCACCACCCATGTGTGTCAAATTGATTTTCATTTATTAGCATTAAGATTTATTTCCTCACCTGTCCTCCATTATTTCTCTGACTGCAGCAATGTTTGGGCCCGTTCCAAGGTGCGTATAATATGGACCCTCATCCTTCTCTACAATTTGTTCTACAAAAAAAGTTTTAAATAGCTGTTAAAAACATTGCATGGACATTCAGAAACACTACTTAAATTCCTACCCAATTACAGTCTGTCTTACCTCTATACAACCGAGACTCATTTGACTCAGCTTAACTAGTCTATTAGCAATAAACAAGTAGTCCTTGACTTATGACCATCCTTTTGGAGTTACGATGGTGCTGAAAAAAGTGACTTATGACTCACACTTAGGACTGCGGCAACGTCCCTGCGGTCATGTAGTCAAATTTAGGCACTTGCCAACGTGCATGTATTTATGGCACTTGCAGCATCCTGTGGTTACCTGATTACCGTTTGTGACTTCCCGAGGGGGCATCCGACACGCAAAGTCAACGGGGGAAACCAAATTCACTTGCTGACTATGCGATTCACTTAACAACAGGGGCAATTTGCTTAACAATGGAGGCAAAAAGGTCATAAAACTGGATGTGACTCACTTAATGACTTAGCGACAGAAGTTCCAGCCCAATTGTGGTCGTAAGTCAAGGACTATCTGTAAAACACTGTTAGATCAAACTCATTATTATATGATTTCGGATTCAAATGCCGGAATGGGATTAGCAACCGTGCCACACTTCAACGTGAACAAAAGAGAGATTGTACTATCAACATTGGCTATTAATTTAAAACTGATCACACTGCCGTATTAGTAAATTCTGCAGGTGGCTGAATTTGTTATTTATCAAAAATACAATTTTGATTCTTCCTTTCACGTTTTATTAAAATAAAATTAGACATTACAGAGTATTATGTTGCCACTGGAATTCAACATGTTGGCCAATAACATACAGCAAGAAACCTATGGATTAAGACTTAACTTCAGCATTGATAAATGCTGTTTGTCACAATTTCTGCATAATGCTGATCAAAATAAAACAATTCCTTTCCTTGTAAGCTGTGGAGAGGAAAGAAAGATAGGTGGGAATTGTTATCAGCTCTTATTTCAAAATTGATAAAAGTTCAACGTTAACAGGTTTTAAATTTGAGGAAAATTCAAGAAATCCAGATTGTCGAGAAGGTATCCGCACAGAATCTGGATAAACGTAGGGGACCTTCTTGTTTATGAAGTAAAAATCATGAATTTTGGCCCCGTGTAAATATTTGCAAGTTTCTGGGGAATTCTGACCAGAGAAAAAGAAAGAGTTTAATAAAAGGAAATTTCTGTAGCTCAGTGTTGAACTGTGGAGTCCTTGGTGCTCTCTGAGCCTTTTTTTGCTGGCAGACGTTTCATTACCTGACTAGGCAACATGATCCATGCGGAAAGACAGAAAGATTTCAAAATTCAACCATGCAAAAAATAAACCACAAGACACTTACCCACGCAGTCACAGGTTGGAAAATTACTCTGTCCTTTCTTTGTAGGTGTATCAATTAAATTCTTTGTAGGGGTATCTAAGAATGTCATGGGAGATTCAAGAAAACTACTGAGTGTATTCTTGGTTGGAGAACACCTTAAGTTCCCAGTACCCTGTTGCTTTTCAGTCTCTAAAGTTCTTAATGTTGGAAATGTAGCTTCACTTACATGCTCCACATTTCTAACAGTATGCATGGTATCCCCTGGCAGGGCATCATCACTGTTACGGGGGATCAGTTGCAGATTTTGATCCTTTTGTTCCACAGTGTCCTGTGGTCTAGCTTGGTTTTCCTCGCAGATGTCGCCAGCTCTCCGACTGAAGATCTGAGGAAAAGGATGCAGCTGAGGGATATTCATGGTTTGTTGTACCTGAGAATTCTTGTCTTTTTCTGTAAACATCTGCCCATTTTCACTTCCTTGTTTTATGCAAAAGTCTGTTTTTAACTGAGCAACGCTCAGCAGATTACTAGAAAGTGGGGCTCCACGTTGAAGTGCCTCCGGGACCCCACTCTGGCTGCTGACACCTTGTGCATCGCTAGAGCCGGTTATTTTGAAGGGCTCCGGCACCATTTCACAGCCCAATGGCTTGTTTCTTATTTTGTCTTGTATTGACGCCGGTAAAGGCCGATGGAATATTATTTGAGTTTTGGGAAGAAATAACACCGCCGTTTTTTGCTGGGATGACAAAGCCTTCCGATTCCGCGTCTTCTGTCCTTTGGTTTTGGAAGATTTTCTCCCCAAGGCTGACAGCTTTGTGTCTTGTGATGCAATGCGCCCAAGTCTGCGCAGTTTAGAAGGCTTTTTCTGTACGTCCTGCAATTCAGGCACGTACTGACATTCTTGCTGTAGCTGACTTGGTTGGTCTGGTACTACTTGAGGCTTCTTCTTCAATCTTTTGGCCCTTGGTACCGATTTCTCGTTCTTCCGGGGTGGCTGCCTTTGCTTGACTAACAAGGAGCTGTAATTGTTCCTCCCAAATACAGATTGTTTCTTCTGCAATAGGCACTGATCCTGCTTATTTTTTGATTGCATATCAGATGGTAATCGACTGAGAAGGGTTGTTGTCATCTTCGGACTGGGACTTGTTCTGCTCGATTCAATTATTGCTGCGAGTTGAGTTAGCTGGGTGGCTACCTCTTCTTCATCTTGGCTGTGAACGCCACCCTTAAATACAGAATTACTTTTTAAATTCAGGTTGTGAACAGCCTTTCCTTCCCATTTGCCAAGCGTCTCTCCTCTGTTCCACCATTGTCTGACGGTACTCGAGTTTTTGGAACATGGACCGAGAGCAGTTTTATGATGAAGAGGACATTTCTTGGTGGCAATACCTGAATTTCCACCAGACACTAAAGCAGAGAAAGGTCTGGTGTCTTTTGGGGTGCAATGCAACCTACGCAGTAAGTTAGATGGACCTGGAGATTTACTGGGGAACTCAGAAATAGCACCTTGAGCTTTGTAGAGTAGACCCTTCGGGAGGATTCTCCTCTGAGAGGCAGGATGGGAAAAAAGCTGCTGATCTTTTTGCGGGCAAGTCCCTTTTATTACTTTCAGTGCAGACGATTTTAAGGGACAGGGGTTATCCTTTTTGTAACTGTTCAGCAAATGCGACGTTTGCTGCTCTAAACCCTCTGGTTTGGCTGGTGAAGGAGGGCCCAAAGGCACCTCGGACAAACGTGTTAATGCCTCAATAGCTACCACTTGTTCCACAGTTAAATTTCTATTTTTAATCAGAGATAAAAAAGTTGACTGAAGTTGCAGATCTTCAGGTTGGGAATCCTTACTAGGACTATTTGAAGCACCATCATCAAGACAAGCACCCTTTTCAAGCCCAGGGGTACAGGGTGGCTTGTCCTGCAAATGTAAAAGTGAAATGGTTTGCAAAAGTGAGTTTTCGGCTTCCTGAATGGCATTTGGGTTTTCTGTCTGGTGGCCTACAACATGGTCCTTCTTTTCTGGAATAGCACCATAGGTTCCAGTTGCTAAAGGGTAGAGGTTGTTCAGCTGAGCCGCTCCACTCCAGGAGGCACTGGAGTTACTGTCATTGCAGCTGTTGGCCAGCTCTGCAGTAGTGTTCACATCTGCTTTTTTCAGTGTGCTCACATCTGATTTCAGTGATGTGTCACATTCTGCTGGTGAATGTGGTATGTTTTTAATGCCATTTCTAGCTGTATGTGCAAATAATTTGGGCACCTCATCTATAATGCTGGAAGAATAGGCCAGTTTTGCATCCTTTTCAAAACGCGTTGAGTTCTCATCCCTGGTTCCAGCTTTACAGAGATCTCCATTCACGTGGATGTTAAGTGACGGATTTTCATTCGGCACCCACTTTTCTGTTTCTAAGCCGGCCATACTTCCTTTTTCATTTGTCTGCACATCTTCCCAGGGCAGTGAGTGGTTTGCTTTCAACTTGTATTTTTCACCCTGGCCATGTGCAATATGTTCCACAAGCTCTGCTCTGCAGCCATTTACTAGTTTGCTTTTTAGATCTCCCTGCAAAACAGTACAAATACATTTTAGCAAATGCTGTTCACCACAGGATTTCATAAACGCTAGTAGTTCTCATGAACAACGCAGTGCAGAAAAAGTGGCAACACCATATGAAAGTTTACAATTGCTACCTAACTAGTTGTATTTCAAAATAAGTGCCACCCAAGATCAGATTCTGGAACAAGATACAAACTGTTTACTCATAAGGAATTTATACTAAAAGCAATAGCCTCCATACAAAAAGCAACCACAATATTGACTACCAAAGATTTGTTTTGTATTTAAAAAGAGACAATACAATAACAACAATTTCAAATGAAAGAGATGTTTGGTCTAGTACAGTGATGGCAAACCTTTTAGAGACCGAGTGCCCCAAAACTGGCCCCACCCTCGCTCCACCCCCTTCCTCACCCCCACCCCACCCCCACTCCGCCTGCCCGCAGGGCCACTCACCGCTTCCAGAGCCCACCACAGATCACCCAGGCAGCCCAGCAGCGCCATGGCGGCCACGCCCTCTGCTCACGCCCCGCAGCATCAACTGTGCAGGATGGGGTGTGAGGGCAGAGTCTTGTCTACGCTGCCTGACTGCCATGTCCTTGGCTACGCTGCTCCGTGTGGGCCACGCTTGGGGGTGACTCTCCTCCAGGGGGGCTGCTGGTGAGAAGGGGATGATGGGGGGAGGCGAGGCTGGGGCAACGGCACGGGTGCCTACAGAGAGGGCTCCGAGTGCCGCCTCTGGCACGTGTGCCACAGGTTCGCCACCACTGGTCTAGTAGTTAAGGCACCAGGCTAGAAACTGGGAGATGTGAATTCTAATCACTTTGAGTTATTTATAAAAAAAAAAAGTTAAAGGTAAAATGTGAACGAATGAATGACCAAATGAATGACCAAATGAATATACATCTAGCCTTACTTTTTTTTCTCATGAAAATGCTTAGTTAAATATGCATCTTTCGATTAGCCTGGTAATCCACAATCTGAGGAAAACAATTCAAAGACACCAAGTCAGTATCAGACATCACAGAAGAGAGATGGATTACTTGTATTTTATACAAGTAGAAAACATTGTACAAATGTTTTCAGAAGCAAGAATAAATCTTTTGAACTGAACCATTGAATTAGCAACCAGCAGTTTAAAGCTTTCGGGTTTTTACTTTTGTGTGCTACTTTTGCCAGTTATGGAAAGAAAAACCCTGAAATTGAGGCTTCAAACAAAGACAAAGTAATATTTGGCACACTGTAAATTATCATGCTTCTAAGTAAGTTGGCCAGAGAATATTACACCAGGCTACAAAATGAGAAGACATCCATGAACAAAAACTGAAATTATGCATTTTCTCTAGCTTTAAAATTCAAAGCCAAACAATTGAGACATTTACCCTGAATACATAACAAAATTATAGAATTACAGCTGCCCCAAAGGTGCTGTTTGTCAGAAAGAACTGGATGTATTATTCCCACAATGTTAAGCTGCAACTATAAGTAACGCAAGCATGACTGTTAACCTTGGAAAGAATGCCATTTCATAAATTGGTGATGACCTGGCAACATTAAAATATTGGTTTACAGAATGTGCCTTTTGGTTTTCCATTTTACGTCCCCTCAAAACCACAACAGGGGAAGGGAAGTGCAGCTTGCCAACTCTATGGATGGTACATATATATAGGAGGAAAAAAGAACAAAGTCTCGATATATTAAAATTTAATTCATAGAAACTGTCTCAGAGCAATTCAAGGTTTGTTTCTTATCATGGGCTGTTAAGAAAAAGAGGGTGTTGGGAGGGGGGAGAGAACCACCCGAATAGAGGTAGAGCATCTCAAACCCCCCAGGGATTTTTTTTTGGGGGGGGGGGTAGAAAGAGAGCTCCCTCGGAGTTCGGGTTGCCTCCGCCTCCCAGCTGTCTTTGTTTCCTTTGGGAACAAAGTGAAACGCCGCTACCATCTCCGCGCTTAAAGGGATTGGGTGAGTGTTTTTTTTTTATAAAGCGGACAGGGCTGGATAAAGGATTGGATTTATTGAGTTTTATTTTGTTTTTTAGTTTAGGTTTATTTTTTTCTTTTTGTTTTTTCTGTTTGTGTGGAGAGTGAAAGTAAAATGGCGATTTGAAAGTTTTTTTTTTTTTCGGGGAAAGTTAAACGGAACGTTATGGATTATATAGCTTTTTCTTTTTAAACTTTTTAAACTTTTCCTCTTTTTCTGAAGGTGGTTTTCTGTTTTTGAGATATTTTTTAAACTCTCCTTTGTTTTTTTTATTCTTTGAGGATTTTTTTTTCATATAAAGAGGAAATAAGAAAAAACTTTCTTTTTAAAAATGGCTTCAAAAAGGCAAGCAGTTTCTACAGTTCCTAAGGTGGCTTCTTCTCTTGCGATTTTACCGGTACAACAGCCTAAAGCTACACCACCATCTTCTCCTCCTCTGCCAGTAATATCTGTACAAGACATGAAAGATATAATGGGAAATGCAGTAACTCAAATCAGAGGGGAAATGAAGGAGCTTTTAGATCAGAATAAAACTGAAATTAGAGGGGAAGTGAAGAACCTGTTGGAGCAGAATAACACTATTTTGAGGCAAGATATAGTTATGGCTCTATCAGGACTTGCTTCTGTGGTTGAGAAGCTTGACTCTAGAATCGAAGAGGTTGCAGACAAGGTCGATATCTTGGAAGATAAGTTTGAAGGCATGGAAAAAAAGATGGAAATTTCACAGGATGACATTGTTATGTCTCAGTACAGAGAGATGGAATATGCTTTAAGAATCAGGGGTGTGAAAGAAGATATGCAGCAAGATTTGAGAGAGATTGTGGTAAATGACTTTGCTGTTATTTTGAACAGAGAGAAAGAGGAAATACGCAGAGAGGTTGAAAAATTATTTAGAGTTAATTCCTGGATTGCAAAACAGAGAAATTTACCAAAAGATGTGGTAATTTATTTTGGAAAGAGATCTCTGCGCAATGAAATTATACAAGCTTTTTATAACAAGAGATTTCAGATTGCTGCTCAAGATGTTATTATTCTAAAGGAGATCCCATCTAAAATTCTAAGAAAGAGAAAAGATTTTGCTTTTTTAGCTAATGAACTTAAAAAAAGAATGATGCCATTCTGATGGGAGATTCCGATGGGTATTGTTTTGAGCCATGCGGGGACGCGTTACAGACGTAATACAGTCACTAAAGCAAAGGAGTTTTACAGTTCGGTCCTGGGAGCAGGCTCATCATCATCTATGATGCAGAAAGTTTTGGATGGTAAAGAGGTGGAACAGCAGTCTGAAGGACTAGATGTGATGGCGGTTGGAGAGTTATAGTCGGACTGGTCCCGACAAGCAGAGATTAAAGAGCAAAGAATGACTCGTGCAGCGCATAGACGCAAGGAAAAGGAACAACAGAGGAAAGAAGTTAAAGAATCTCTTCAAGAAAGTGCTTCGTTGCCGGTGGGAGGAGCAAGACCTAAGAGTTCTGCGGCACATTCTTCAAGGGCAGATCTTCAAGTAGTTTTCTCCAGGCTTCTGGTTAAGGGAATGGTAAAGCTCCTGACTTGGAATGCTAATGGCCTAAATTCCCCTCAGAAGAGAAAGAAAATCTTTCATTATTTAAAGCAACATAATAATGATATTATTTGTTTGCAGGAAACACATATTATAGCCAAAGATCAAAAATATTTAGTCAATGCTCGTTTGGGATCTCATTTTGCATCTTCTGCTCCTGGGAAAAAAGGGGGTGTAGTTATTTATGTTCAGCAAAACTTATCAGCCTGTTTGGTAGAATCTGATCTTCAAGGGAGATATGTTATGATTGAAGTTGGCTTATATGGTAAGAAAATACTTATAGTGGGACTGTACGCACCAAACCAACAACAGGAACAATTTTATAGATTGTTGCATCAGAAACTAACTTTCTTGGATTATAGATCTGTGATATTAATAGGAGACTGGAATGGTGTGTTAGATATACAAAGAGATAAAAAAGGATCTTCCACTTTTTTTTAAACAGGCTAAACTACCCAAAGCTTTTTTTGACTTGAAAGAGGACTGGGAGCTACGAGACTACTGGCGTGAATGTAATCAGGAGGAGAGAGACTTTACTTTCTTTTCAGATAGACATCAATCTTTTTCAAGAATTGATTTTTTTTATTACAACTGATTTATATTTTAGGGTAAAGAATGTTAAAATTTTTCCTAGGACATTGACAGATCATAGTCCAGTTTGGATGGAGTTGGCTGATGAAAAAGAGGAGAGGAGATCGTGGAGGGTGAATGAGAATTTATTTAGACAAGAAAAGAATGTTCAAAAAGTAAAGGAGCACTTAAAGGATTATTTTGCTTTAAATATGTATAAGGGAACTTCAATGTCAATGGTATGGGATGCAGGTAAAGCCTTTATGCATGGGATTTTGATACAAATGAATAATGTTCATAGACAAAAGCAGATTCAGAAACGTAAGGAATTGGAAGATGAGATTAAATTAAAAAAAAAATTTTGATCTCAAATCCCACAGATGAAAAGGTTAAAGAATCTATAAAATTGCTTAAAACACAATTTAATATATTGATGGCTGATCAAACTGCAACTAACTTACTGTATATGAAACAAAATACATTTTGCAATGCTAATAAACCAGGGAGATGGTTGGCTTATCAATTAAGAAAGAAACAGAGACAGAGAATTATAGATAAAATAAATTATAATGGTAAATTGGTATATCATAAGGACTTTATTAAGAAATCTTTTTTAGATTATTATCAAAAATTATATAAGAGTACTAAAATACAGGCTTTAAATATAGATAATTATTTAAATGAAGCCAACTTCCCTAAACTAACAGAAAATCAGAAACAAGAAATTAATGGTTTAGTTACTAGTGAGGAAATTGTGACAGTGATTAAGGAATTAAAATTAGGTAAAGCACCGGGCATGGATGGCCTGAGATCTATTTATTATAAAACTTTGCTACAAGAGATGATTCAACCTTTAAGAGAGCTTTTCAATAATATACTACAGGGTTTAGAG